CGAGGATGCTCTCGGCCCTGCTTGCGCCCCAATCACTGGACTGGACGGGCTGCCCGTGCCTGGCGCTGGCGAGCTCGCCCCCGGGGCAGTGAGTGTCGATGTGACGTCGAGGCGACGTCGAGGCGATCAGCACACGAGCAGACGGCCGGACACACAGCCTGCCAGCCCGCGCTGCCGTAAACATCCTCCAGGGAGCAAACAGCGGCGTGCTCTCACGCCACCGTCGTCGCCTCTCCGCCCGCACCGCCGCTCGCGTGCTGCAGGCAGCCCCCCCCGGGTAGCATGCTGGCGGGAATATCTCTCTCTGTCATGGACTCCCTTAATTGGTGCATTCAAAACATTTGATTTAAAAAACTGCTTTCAGGGACTAGATGCACATTTATTGTTGAAATTGATGTTTTATTATTATTTTGTAACTATAATTTGTCTTAACTGAATGCTCAATCATCTCAATTTTGAGATACTTTCAACATGCTTAGTTTCTATTGTTATTTTCTTGTAAAGCACACTTTGTACAATCAAGTGGAAGTGGTCAAGCCTCAGGGTTAATGCCAGGTTATATCAAATGTGTTTTGGATAAAATTTCAGTATTTGTCATTTTTACATTTGCTTTAGTGGCATTCAGTATTGTACCATGGTCAATGGTTTTCCTCCCTGATCTAAATAATTTCCATTGGCACAAGTTAACCGTCTTTGTTTCTATTCTAACTACCATAGCACTTTTGAGGGTTTTTCTCAACTCATGACTGAATCCCGTAAATTCCTTTTAATACCCATAACCAATGTTCAAGAACTTGCATTTTTAATCTGTTTTCCTTTTTTTTAATGCCAGTTTATGTAGATAGAAAATTCCTAGAGTTGCAAAATTATTGAAGGTTAAATCTCTTTCCTTTAATTTAAAATAATACAGATGCATGGTATTTAATAAATGGTGAACATTGTTCAGCCACCACATTATTGTTGTGTAAATGTACCTGTTTTGTAGGAAACATTGAAAATATAAACTTTGTTAATTCCTCTCTTGGCCCTCATTTAGTTCACTGTTAAGTTTGGATGCACCTTTATCTTTCTCAGACTACCCGTTATTATAATTTTTGATTCCTTAAACTTAGCTGGTGAGTAAATTGATTTCTTACCGTGCCACCAATTTATCATTCCCATCGATTTTTTTACCCCTTTGGTTTTGACACACTTGTGCCACAACCAACAGCACACATTGAATAAACACTTCCTCTTTGTTCCTGATGTCTGTGATCCAAGCCTTTGGTTCAAAGTATTTTGCTCTTTGTTCACACCTGCAATGTTGCAGTAATTTGTTATGCAAGAGGTCGTGTGTATCTCGAATGCAAATGTTGTTCATCATTAATGAAGAGCAGTTCTGTGTATGTTACTTAGATATATTGCGTTCTGTCAGTATTGTTAACATGTTAAATGTACTTAGAGATGCTTATGGAAGTGTTTTGTTTTTATTTATGCTTTGTCAGATTTTGTAAAAGAGTTAATACAATTTTCTTATGTCTCCTCAAATTGTGTACTGTATAATAAAAGAAATCTTGATATATTTGACACATTAGTATTCAAAGTTTATATCCTGAAACGTCTCTCACGAACTGAAAAGTAAGAAAGCCTCCCCTTGCCCCGAAAATCACACGCAGTGTACTTTTGGGTCGCAGGCCTTACCGGTGGGCAGAGTAGGCCAACCGGCAACATTCGGGTCTTCGTTCACTGGAAAATCAAGCGCAAAACTTCGATTCTTTTGATAAATTTTACAGCTCAAAAGATTCTAAAGGCTCTAAAATTAAGCATCTTTAGGATATTTTGTGCCTCTACAGGGGGTCGTAGGGACTTTGGTAGTTGCTATAGAGGGTTCCCCGAACTCAAAAACGCCTCAATATAAACATCTTGATTGACACCAACATCAATTGTTGACTTAAATGTCACCAAGTACGAGCTGACCTCCCAATGAAGAAGTCAGAACTGCCTGCTCCCTTACAAAAATAACCAAATATGTGGATGTAGTGCTGTAGACCGTATATTCGACGTCTGACCGAGGGGGCCTCAACTCCTTGTGTGTACACCAGATCGCTAGGATTGCCAGATTGACTCACGAATATTTTGTTTTGGGGGTATAAAACGCCTGTAACTAGGCAAAGACACACCTACTTACACCCTGAGTGTAAACAAAAATCCGCAAAAATCATTGCCCTTTGGTCCGATTGCCTATAGATTGCTGAAGATTATCGTAGATTGCCAGGGCCCCCTAGCTTCTGGCTCGATTGGTTGAGCGCCTGCTGTTGTTGGGAAACGGCCGGTCATTCCCCGGTAGCTTGGAACAAGCTTGAAAGGGTAGTGGTGGCACTTACACGCACTGAAAATGGAGGAGTGAGGTATCTCGCTCCTAGGAGAGCGATATTGAATGAAATCGCTCCTTAAGAGTAATTCACTCCCAGGTAGCAATATCATGGCTGCATTTTAGATTGGACTGGACATGCGGTCATCATGAAGTGGGCTGGATCTTAGTGACCCCTTAAGACTGGTATTGGCTGAGATGAATTTAATTCAGCGATGTTATACTAATGTCAATCCTATTAAGCAATGTAGACATTATGTCGCTCTGCCTGGGCCCTGGGCTACTGTAGAAACACGTCACTGAATTTGAATAACGAGATACACGCAACTCTCCCACGTTTTCAATACATTTTCTGACTTCTTCAGTGTGGGGTCAGCTCGGAATTGGTAACTTAGTCGTTCTCACAGTGCAGTCCACATTTGTTGTCACCTTTCAAGAATTATTCTTCGGCTTTTTAAAGTTAAGGGAATACCCTGCTATTGGAACTTCCCATTTCGACAACGGTTCGACCTTCCCCGGAGTTGGATAGGCCTCTGTAGGCTATGTATACTCGCTTCTTGCGCGCGCCCAGATGACGTGTGCCCTCTGCCAAACTCGACAGGACATATTGAACACACACAAACACGTGCTCACTTTAGACTGATAGGCAAACAACAGTGCGCCATAGTTGATAATGTACACAGGATTTGCAAAAAACAAAAACAAAAAACAACATGAACACAAACACAGTAATCGTGGTCACTTATGACCAAATGTTTCGTGAACTTGCTTCCTAATGATCCCACCGATGGCCGGTGGGCCCACACTGCGTTTGCGCTATTCCTTCGCCCCCCCCCCCCCTTTCAACACCAGCCCCCCCCCCCCTCTCCTCGCAGGCATGTGCCGGACGGTCATACCGTACCACCCTCCTCACCGCCCTCGCACCCGTTCGCACCCGCCTCGCACTGCGCGACCACAGTCAAAAGCCTTCAACGCCTCCCCACCACCAACACCTCGTCTTCGTCTACCTTTGTCCCTCTCCCTCCGAGTGCCCGTCCGCGCCCGCCCGTCTCCCTCGCACTCCCTCGCACCCGGGGCCCTCCCCGCCGGCCGCACTGCGAGGATGCTCTCGGCCCTGCTTGCGCCCCAATCACTGGACTGGACGGGCTGCCCGTGCCTGGCGCTGGCGAGCTCGCCCCCGGGGCAGTGAGTG